CCGAGACCGTGGTACAAGGGCGTCGCAGGCGACTAATGTTGACAGCATACCCTTGGTTGCTGTATACCTTTCTTTGTTGGATTACTTTGGTTTACATAATGGTACTTACCTATTATTGTTAGCAGTCTTTGATTACGTGTGTTGTCAGCGCTGGTCACTGTATTTCTATAATATTCGAGAAGTAGATACGCCTTTAGATAAATACGTATTATATAGAGGGAAACGTGAAATAAGGTCATGTATCATACCAAAGCTGTTTTTGGGTCCGTTTTTCTTCGTTGGCCCACGGAAGGCAGATTTTCCATCAGTTATTTCGCTTAAGAATCCAATGTATTTAAGAGTCAATCGTTTCAGCAGGGCCGTGCAGTAAACTCGACAGCAGGCTTACGAAATCTGGCACCGAGACAGCAAAGCGCTTCAAACGACGTGAGAATGGTTGGCTCCGTATCACAAGGTAACTTGCTTGCGGTAATCATTCTCCTGTTAGGAACTTTCATCAGTCTCAAAGTTTCAGTTATTGTAATTCTGTGTGAGCAGGTCCTGTTGTTTTGACTTTCTTGTAAACAGGTCCTTTCTCTCTTGTTCTGAGTCATCTCCTTCCAATTTGGTCATAGTTCAGTCGTAGTCCTAGTCTAGGAATGTGAACGAAACCAGAATAGTGGCCGCTTACTAATGGGGATTTTGGTATTGGTTGTAATACCACTAGATGTTGCGTTGAGTGTTCTTCGTTCGAAAGGAAAAAGTTTTTTGAAATTCCAACTCATTTTCTTCATCTGGATGATCTTAATAAGTCTTTCGCTCATATCGCACCTCTCCTAAGAGTTCATTGTCAAGTCGCTACGTCCCTTTGAAACCTGTCAAATTCCTCCAGTTTTATTCAGTGAACCATTTCAGCGTTATATTTTTTCCTGTCAATTTGCGTTATATGAAAGAGTCGGTCAATCAATGAATCGGTTCATATTTTTTATGTTTGCTGGTACACTTCAGTATCAGTTCATTCGAATTTTATTAATAACATCATCATCATCATCATCATCATCATCATCATCCTTCTTCTTCATCTTCTGTTGCTACTTGCGATCTGCGGTATTGCTCCCCATGAACTTATCGTCAAGTCTATTTATCTATGTTACTATATATTCCCTATTTCGTCAAGCCTGCGTCACTCAGGAACGAAGTAAACCATTGTTCGGCAGTTTTTCTACCTAAGCCTCTTTCGCTAATTGTCATGAGATCAGAGTAGCAGTTCCGTTTAAAATCAGATATGTTAAAAGCAACGAACACCCCCCTCTCCATACGATGGTGACTTCATCAATTTAAGGTGCTTCGGCTCCTCGCCAACTGCAAAATCAGCAGCAGGCTCAGATGAGGAGTGCCCAGGGAACGCCTCAAATGGTTCAATTGCACCAGGTTCAACAAGTTCCCGTCACCGGACGTGTCATTGCCATGAATTCGATGCAGGTTCTGTTTAGATTTTGTGCGGAAGTGCTTTGAATTTGAAAAGTCTACCGGTGTTTTTGTACTTCCTGCTTCCGAGACTTTGTCTGTTTAGGCGCCGCAACAATTGATTCCCGTTCCGATGCGCATGGTTTCCAATGGTGGATCGATGGGTGACGGCCAGCAAGCTGCAAGTTGTTTGTTTTTTTGTCGTCTTGTGATTATGTTTCATCTTCTACTTTTGGTAAGGAGTTTTGTTTGATTAAAACCTTCACTTAGCGTCAAATATCTTCTTCTCTAAGATTTTTCTGTGCTTTCCTATTTTATTTTTTAACCTCATTCTTATTTGCCTTAGTTCGCACCCAAATTCAGATAGCTTTCTTCAGTTCTTGGATCAGAAAGCCGTTTCTCTTAGAACTTGTGACCTCCTTAGCATCGCGTGCGGTTTATCGATCCCGAGGAGAGTCAAAATCCTTCTAATCAGTGGATTAGCAGAAGGAAATAGATGATACTGCGCGGCAAGCTTTCAAATTCGGGATAAATCTAAAAAGTCTCTTGTCTATGATAGTGCGATTAGCCTTTTTCATCAAACAATTGTTTGTGCTAAAATTTGTGCTTTGCTGCTGCGCTAGACTGCGATGATATTGATTCATGGTTTTTTCATAGGGTTAAGTGAACATTTATTTCGACACATGCGAGGTAAAGATCACATACTAGCTGGGCAGCGTTGTTCAATGTCTATAATGTTTTTGCTAGCATAATTTGAGTTATTCCTTTATGATAGACGACGGCCCCTTCACAAAGTCTTCGTTCTTCTTTTCCTTCTTCTTGTTCTTCTTTTTCTTTTTCTTCGCCTTTTTCCGAGCGAACGCTAAAAGGTTCGACATCGCAGGATATTTGAGAACCGTGAAACTTTCCTCCTTCCTGTTCCTGTTTCTTCTCCCTTCTTCTCCTTTACTCCCTCTCTCTGCCCTGCTCCTTATTTTCTTCCCTTCGAATGCTCCTCCAGTGGGAGAAAATGCCCCGAACTCTCACAGCGAAAGGAACTTTCGTTTGGGCTCTGTAACCACATGTTCTTCCGAGGGGATTTCAACAATAGGCAGCAGACAGCGGGGGGGGGGGGGGGGCCAAAAAAAAAAGTCATTTTGCCTCCATGACTTTCAAGGCGCTATAAGTTACACTTTATTAAATTTTTATCGGACATTTTTACTACCATATTAAAGAGCACATTAAATTATAACGATACTCCGCCACAGCCTTCTGGAGGAGCGCCATCGAGAGATTCGCCGCGCGAAAGTGAGTGGGTACCGGAGTTGAGCGAGATCGTTGATTTCTCCGCCACCGTAGACCACCCTCTTGAACTCCGCCCGACTAGGTAACTGAGTGGATTCAGGTCAGGGGACATACTTCAATATTACATCTTCTTCAGGTACGAAACGCCCTTCCATTCGAAGTAGGCGGGAGTTTTTCCAAAACCCTTTGATTCCATGTGGTGGCACCCAAACCTGTAGCAGCACAAGGTCTCCAAGAAGGTACGGGCGGACCACATGTAGGGAGGATATTCTTCTCGAGTTACTTGATGTAACCGCCAGCGCTCACCTTCAGTCGGGGTCTACAAAGAAAATATCGGTCTTCCCCTTTCCAGGTACCCCGGTCCATACCATCAACTCGCGCCTCGGCGAATACGGTGAAGATGATGTCCTAGACCGTAGCGAAGTTGACGAAGCTGCTCGATGTGGGAGGTCTTGCAGATCAAGAGTACTGACCTCCAGGTAGCTATCTGTGGATGACTTCATTCAAGAAGTTTCGCAGCTGTTTGGAGGCGACGTGAATTCCAAAGGTGTTCTCCAGTCAGGCCGCGACTGGAGATGACTTCATATTTTGGCGTACATGAAGGCGATTGGCGGCAGCCTGCTCCAGCTTATAGAGGAAGATCTTGGGTATCTTCCACTCTGGTACTCATATCCACTTCCCCTGTCTGGGCTGCGAAAACTTCGTTGATATGTGGCTCGGCCGAAATGACTTTTTTTTTTGGCCCCCCCCCCTGTATACCAAAGCTGTGTTTCGTTTTCGTTCTCTACTAGGAGGCTTCTTCCTTTTATTTATATATAGGAATGGTTTTTGGTTACGCTAATCGGGGGCAGTGCTGTTCTAGGAATCCTTTCGGCGCTTCCCGTGCGCTCCACTAATGAGAGCATAAATCGACCCATCGTACCGAGATTTCTGTAAGGGTCAGCATAAGGATGAACCGGATAAAGTATTTGCATTGATCCATCCCTTTTTTGGGATGCGCACGCATTCTACTTTCATTCGGAATAGTAGTGACTTATTGAATGTGATGTGGCCTATACAATCTATTGCGGGGGCCACCGGATGTAAAAGTCTGTTTTATCCTTCCAGACGAATCTGATACCAATTTGCCGTCCCTTGGGGCCCAGGCGGGTGTCGATCGGGGACGGGTCAGCACATAGTTCATCAATTGTTTCGTTTTCGTTTGTGCTCAAAAAAGTTTTTCTCTCTTTCTTTCTGCTTAGGCTTTCTGAGGCTGAAGCTGCTGATATTGCACTCTTATTTTCATCAATTGCTCGCTTCAGATTCTATCCAACTCATGCCGCAATTCCTTCCAGCAAACGCTCTCGAATATGGCTCAGAAACATCCAGTTTTATGGCCACGTAAGTTGAGCGGTAGCGTGGTGGCCCATTCGTGAATAGCCGTTAAAGACCGAGTAGAGCCTGTAATGTTGTGAGGGCAGGTTGGCTTTCTGTCCTGCACCTGGAAGTACTGCTGTGGCTTTCTGTGCTGCCCCTGATTTGCCTGCTAGCGATTTTGCTGGCTCTGCGAAGGGCACACTTTGGCAATAACTGCTGAACTGCAGTTACTCTTCTTTGATGGCCTCTTCGATTTAACTTTATTCCCATCGATCTTACAGACTTACCAGCAATTTGTTGAGATTTTCAGATCCTACGGAAGCATCAAATGCCCAGGGAATGGTTACTCAACAAGCGATGGTTATTAATTCTTCATACTTTTTTTGCACATTTCTCATATTCTGGCGTCTAATGGAGTCGTACACTATTTACTAACCTTTTTGCTTTGAAGTTTCAGAATGCGATGCGAACGGGCAACACTGCTCTGATGGTTGTTCAAGGACCTAATGGACCGATGGTTCTGAATACATCCACTATGCACCGTAAGTTAGATGTTTTGTCGTTTTCTCAGATGCTTTTCACTGACGTGGTTAGAAATAAGCTTAGTTTTTTTCGCTTAGTATGGTTTTCTCTCGTCACATGATTAGATCCCTACATCTTCGACATTGCGTTTATGTCGCTTCAATTGTTTTTCGAGCCGTTAAAAGACGACTTTTGACTGATTGGTATAGTTTAAGGTGCACCTCAATTGGTTACTCCGTACAAAAAAACCGGTGCTAGTAACCGCAATGAGTTGTTTT